AAAAAAAAAAAAAAAAAAAAAAAAAAAAAAAAAAAAAAAAAAAAAAAAAAAAAAAAAAAGGTGGAATTTCAGGTGGCTTTTGGAAGGAATGGTTAGAAGTGGTGTAGAAAAGTCTTGAGGAGGTGTGAGAGCAGCAGCTTTTGAAAGCAAAACCTGAGGAATTCAGCTGCTCCACACTGGCAGAGATCAGTTAGAGCTGAGAAGTCACTAAGTTATTTCTAAATGTTCCTCTTAGAAAGGGTCAAGAATGTGGAAAGTTCATAAAATACAGTGAGTGCTTAAAAGGACAGAGAGGGAATTAGATCTGGGCTGTTTTCCAGTCAAGAAGTGAGTGTATTCAAGGACCAAGAATGTGATAAAATCCGTGAACTCTTACACTCTGCTTTACTTAATAGTCCAGCTAAGTATGTTTTGTGCAAGGGAGACCTGAGAAGTGGCCATCAGCTCTGTAGCATTCATTCTGGTCTTGGTTTGTTGATGCTGAACTGAAACTCCTCAATCTCTGGGCTACCTGGCCTGTACAGGCTCTCCTTCCACAAGAGTCCATTCCTTTGTGGTCTTCAGCTGTTTGTAGGGCTGGGCTTTAGACCAGTTTGGAGGCTCTGTGTGTGCATTTCTGCTTGGCTTTTGATCTGTCCCATACAGCAAGGTCTTTCCTTCGTGTGCCTTTGGATGAACAGCAACAGCAGAGCAGATTTGTATCCATCTCCACTGCCATAATCCTCTCCGTACTTAGGCCATCCCTCTTCTCGCTCTCCCTTTGCTGCCCTGTCTACTTCTTGATTCGCTTTGGGAGGAGTGAAGGATACAGGACCCATGTTGTCTGATAAAGGAGTGGTGATGAAGCTCTGTGTGCCTGATGCAGTTTCTGCTTCGAGCATTCCTGCTTTCTTTCAATCATGTAACTCCATGTCAGACAGAGCTTGTTGCAGATGGTGTTATCAAAGCTGCTTTTCCATTAGATTTTTTTTTTCCCTGTAGGATAGATGGCTACAGACTTTTGGATTAAAGCCTAATATGTGCTCAGAACACTTCAGCTATTGGAGGCTATGGGCAGTCAGATGTAATTTTAAGAACTGCACATTGCAGGATGGCAAAAAGTTGCATAAGTTTTCCAAAATCCACTCACTTTTAATGAATGAGAATGTTGTTCTTGACTTGCAGTGAAGGATGAGACCATTAGTGCCTGCTCCTTGCCCTATGTTTATGAAGTGTGTTGTCTCAGTCTCTTATTTACATTCAGGAAAAAAAAATAAAGATCCTTGCATCTTGGGTTGACATCTGTGCATTTCAAGACATTACAGTGTATTGTTTTAAATAATTCTTGACCCTTGCTTTTCCACTTGGAAGGACTGGTGCTTGAATGTAATAGCAGTGGCAGCATTGCAGGTTGATGCATTAAATTGCTTTTGCTCTAGAGTACTGATTGTCAGGTTGCAGTATGGGATCCCTTCTCATTTATTCCTGTGAGGAAAGGCAGGGCTCGGAGGAGCCCTCCTGGAGGGCATTGCACCGAATACACAATACGAAGACATTAATAATGCAGCAGGCAACGTATTAAAATATTCAATAGTTGTGAGATGAAAATGAATTATTGGTGACTGGAATTGACTAGAACATTCCTCTCCTTTCAGCATATTGCGTTTCCCTAGTCTCTAAGTGCAATGAATATTTTGATTCTTGCCATAAAGCACAAGCTTGGTTTTCTGTTATGTCTGTGTTAGCTCGGCCACGGACGCCTTCAAAGTTCTTCCCTTCCTTTACATGTGGCCATACAGATTTTAATCAGCAGTATTTCACGTTGTTTCCCTTTTCTTCCTAGAGCAGAAGAGGTGCCTGCAGCTCAGCAACCTGCAAAGCCACAGCCTCAAGCCAATGGAACAGGTAATCTTGGTCAAAGGAAGGAAAGACCAGTTGTGCAGTTTCTCTGTATATGATTCTGCATTTAGGTTTTGCAGACCTGAATAAAGAATTGACATTGCTCTATAAGACCCTTAGAAATGTAATGAAGGCTGTTGCTCAACTTTAATTCTCGTATATTATCTGATCCTTGACTACCTGGAAGACAGCTCTGATATACAAGAAAGATGCTCTCATTCCCCACTGCAGAAGTGCTTTAATGTCATTAATGGTAATACTTGCCTTTTCTAAAAGAAAAGATGAATTATTTCAGAAGGAATAAGCTTAAATGTGTTCCTGGTTTTCTTGCACATCTACCCTGCCTCCCTCATTTCTCAAGTTGCTGCTTAGGATGAATTGAATAAAATAGTGATATTGGAAGGCACTAAGAGTGCAGGCAGATTCTCAGTCTTTTGCTGCACTTCAGCATTTTCCTCCCAACCTGTTGACTGAGGGAAACGTGTCAGACTTTTAAAACTGCAAATTGAAATAAGAGTTGTTCCCTCTGTACTACCATAATGCCAGTAGTTTCTGTTATGTGAATAACTTCTGTGTGTATGTGATGTGTATTCAAAATGTTATCCTTTCTATATCCACAGTATTGTCGTATGGGAAATTTAGACTTCCTGTCTTATTTTCAAGTGCAAACTTTGTCTTAGCTGTGAATGGTCACTAAATTCATTATTTTTCTAGATAATCATTATCATTCTTTAATCTATAGCAATCTTTTTTTTTTTTTTTTATGACTGTCTTTTTCTTATCTGCTTAGAAGGGTGGTTTGAGCAGCTGTAGGTGGCAGATCAGCCTTTCATAGCTCTGCTTAAACACATCCTCAGCTTGCCTAGTTCTGTGCTGAGCTGGGGCCGGCTGTAGTTGTCACCAGTCTCCTCTTTGTCACGCTGTTTTGTTGACCTAACTGTCCCTGTTCCTACTTATCAAAGATAGACTGCTTATCGCTTATAAGAAGTGACTTTTTGAGGCAGAAATAAAGCAAGGTGTTTTCTTAGCTTTCATCCACACTGCCTGAAACTTGAGGGCCTCACCCTACCACATTTTCCGCTGAGATTTATCTGTGGCTGAAAAGAACTCATACAGAAAGCATGTACACCTTGCCATATAAGACTTTCCAGGCAGTATAACGAGCATATATTCGCTATATGGAAGGCAGCATAGACAGCCTGAGTTCTCTTGCCCTGCTTTAGGGAAGCAGAGCACACAGGCCCTCGCGTCCTCGCCGTGCACACCCGGCTGGCAGGCGGCTGTAAAAGGTCTCCTGCAGAATCCTGCTCAAGCTGCAGCCTCCCCTTCCTGTCGCTCTGGCTCTGAGGTCTTCTCGTTTTCTCCACAGGAGTGTCTTGGTTTATGTTTCCTTTCCTTCAAAATTACCCTTCAGCCCAATAAAAATGCAGAGATTTAGGTCGGCCTGATGTTTACAGGAACCTCTTAACCGGAAAATATTTTCACTCTGTTGCTAGAAATTCTCATTTGTTAAAAGATGTTTAAGTAATTTGTGTTTAAAAAGCTTCCAGGTATTGTACTCAGAGCAAAGCTTCTCCTGAAAGCAGAAACCACCTTTACTCTTCTTTTACATGCTTGACTTCTTCTTTCTATAAAGGACTGAAAATTTCCTCTAACTTACAAAAAGAGATATTAAAAAAAATCTGCATTTCCGTTCTGAATTTTGAACACTTTCTGAATTAAGAGTTGCAGTTCTTCGACTTTCTGGCTGACAAGCAATCTTAGACATACAAGTTTGGGTCTCTGTGGTGCTCTCCGGGTAACAGTTTAGAGATCAAGCTGCTAAAGAGACAAATGTTGAAATTTAGACCCTACCTGACAGGGTATCACTGCTGTGTGTATGGGCTCATTTGAAAGGACAGGAAACTTGCCTGATTTCCAGAAATAAAACTCCCCCTATCTTCACTGAACTGTGTGTCTTGATAGATGCATATATTACTTTTTGTACCATATAGACCTTCATGTTGCCACAAAATGATAGGAAAACTAAGTTGTGTTGTGGATTCCCATGAAAAGTGTTGGTGAATGACAAGAAATTCATTACAAAGAATGCTACGCAACCAGAAAACATCATATGGGATCAGATGCAGACTTACATGAAGATATCTTCTGATACTGTCCTAATATATAGTGTTTTTTTTTTTCTTTTAGATAAGCGTAGTCACACAGTGTGTTCGAGACTCCAGAAGTGGTTTTATGACAAATTTGGGGAGTATGTTGAGGACTTCAGATTTCAGCCAGAGGAAAATACAGTGGAAACAGAAGAACCACTCAGTGCTAGAAGGTAACGCTGCACTGCTACTGTAGGCAACTGTTGGCTTCTTTACAAAGTTCTTTACAACCTTTGCATAGTTTGAGCAAGTGTTTACATAAAATGTAATAAAATCAAAGTTTTGGTACCATTTGTCAACTCCAAATGCCTTGGCTGAGACATAAAATTTGAAATTTATCTGCTGTGTAGGGTAGAATGATATTTTGGGAGTTGAGTCATGTATCACTTGAAGACAGAGAACAAAGTCTTAGTTAGACAGGAGAACTTTTATTTTTCAATTTTTGGTCTGATGCAAGTCGGCTGTAGCAGTGACCAGACACACATTTCATAAGGGATAAAGCTTCATGTGCCCAAGTTTAATTTACAATTGTATCCCAGACACCAAATGCTGTATTTTAATACAATTCACTGCTTATCTGTTTAACAAGTTGCTTCCATCCATGTTTTCTTTTCTCTTTCCTTTTTTTTTTTTTTTTGCTTTTTTACAGATTGACTGAAAATATGAGAAGATTAAGTAAGTATTTGGCAGTGTTTTATATTTTGGAAATAAAAATAGTTCTTAGTGACCTTGTGGGGAAGATTGCTGCATGTAAAAATACAGTGTTTTGAAATACTCTTGCTATTTCATAAACAAAAGTGCTTCTGAAATCCCGAATTAATGTTTGTTGGGATGCAAAATAACTTACAGGCAGGAGCAGTGGTAGGGGCTTGCTTGAAATCTTGAATTACATAGGGTATCTCCTGTACCAAACATGTAATATTAATTAAAATGTGTAAACATGCAATGAGTGAGAACAGGATGACCCTTTAATTACTAAAACTGAGATTCTGAGCGGTATTTCTCTAGTAGCAAAAGTTCTCCTGTTCTCCTTGGTGAAAGGGCATTGTAAAAATACGAGTAGTTGTAAAAATAGGAAGCTCTAAGCTTAAGCTCTGAATGGCCCCCACTAGGAGAGCCCCAAATGTTAGATCATGTTTTTTGGGGGTGCCTCACTAGCACCCATGGCCCTCAAGCACCTTCTGACCCCAGGGCTTTGCAGGTGTTGTCACCATCGTAGGTGGTGTAGCAGAGCAGCAAGAGGAGCTGCTGGAGATGGTGACCTCCTGCACTGCTCTGAGTGGTCCCTTCCGCTGGCTTCATCTGCTGCTTCCTTTGTGCTGCTGATGCTCAAGGAAATGGGTCCTGGCTGTTTATGTCCTGTCGGGAAGGCATGAAGGAGAGCTCAGTTGCAAGCTGAACCTGCCAGGGCCTCCAAAGCTCTCCACTGTGCTGTGAACCACGGCGCTACTCTTTGGCCTCTGTGCCAGATGAGCCTTCTCAGCTGTGAAGGCAAAAAATCAGTGTTTTCCAGCAAGGAAGGCAAAGGTCTCCTTGCAGGAGCCTTTTCCTGTTTCTTGTGTTCCCGAAACGGTTTGCACAACCAGTAAAAGAACATGCAGGAATAGCAAGGGTAAAGGACAAGCCTTGAGAGAGCTGAAAAAGAGCAGCCCTCTTGCTCTTGCTGGCCCTGTGCATGTTGGAGGGCAACGCTCCTCCCTGAAGGATCCATCTCCTGTGCGGTGACGGGAAGAGCAGAGGGCTGCAGAGGCTGGAGGCGGCTGCTCCAGGTGACAGGGCCCTGTTATGGGGGGCTCTGGGGTTATGGCTTGGGACAGGGGTGAGCAGCAGAGCGGTGCCAGCAGTGCGTGGGCAGAAATGCAGCCAGGAGGTTCCTTGCCAGGGTTGAAGGCAGTTCAAGCAGGGGCAGCTGGTCACCTGGTGGCTTGGAGCTGCATTCAGGTTCATCTGCTTCGTCTTACACCAGGATGAATTGACCTACGCTGAGGTTTTGGGGTAGTGAAAATGACTAGTACAGAGCTCAGAGCAGGTTGCTGACAGAACCTACCCTGTCCTGGTAGAGATAGTGTTATTCTCAACTTCCTGCTGCTCACGCCCATATACTTGCAGCTTAGAGATAACCTTTGTGTTGAATAATGCTTCATTTTTGGAAACGTACTGCTTCCCTGGTTGCTAAGTTGCACTGATTTGGTTTTTAAAGTTTTATTTGTTACTTTACTTGGGTAATCCTTTTTTTTGTATTTACTGGATATTACCATATCCTGGTGTCTTGGATATTCCTGTAAAATTCTAATTTGGTTGTTTGTCATTTAACTATTGTTGTTTAATCCTAACAATTGTGGCTTTTTTTCCTTCTTCTCCACTTCCATTTAGAGAGAGGTGCCAAACCTGTTACTAATTTTGTGAAGAATCTTTCTGCCTTATCAGACTGGTACTCTATCTACACTTCTGCTATTGCCTTTATTGTAAGTTATCTTCTTCTTTGGGGAGTAATAAGATACGGTAATTAAAAAGTTCTGAGTATGGGTTATGTTACAATTTAGGTCAAATCAAATAGTGTAATTTTATATAACTCAAAATACTGGGCAATTCACACATCATTCATATTTCAAAACCATTTCAGTTGTGTGATTCTGGGTTTATTTGGTATTACAGTTTTGCATCAGATAAAATAACTTGTAAGAATCTGGGCACTGTCCCCATGTTTCTTGCTTCCTGTCTCCCAGACCTGTAATTTGAACTTCAGCCTCTGCAAAATCTCTTGTTGTCTAGGGCTCAAATCCTATGAGAGGCTGCGTGTGATAAGAAGCTGTCTTCTACTATCGGTGTTTTTTTCAATATTAGGATCACTCTAGTTGATAAGAGTCTGAATACCTTGATTTGAGTGAAATGTAATGGATAGAAATCATGTCTTTGAGATAAATAAAAATAGTGCTGTGGGGTGGTGGGAGAAAGTTTCCATAGTGCAAGGTGATAGAAATACTTAGTTGGGCTTTGCGTTGTTTTCTTTTGAATTATTAAATAATCTAAATTATTTTTTATAATATATATGAAATATTTTGATGTCAAAGTTTTTGATTATTAATCAGTAGTTATGACTGACTTTGTCAACGTGACCTGTCGTGTGGAAATGACACCCACTTGTTCATTCCATGAACCCACCCCAACCTTAACTGATTGCTGCTTTGCACTGCTCTGGTGAGGGACCGTGGAGGAGGAGGCTTTCTCATAGTGATTTCTGTTGTGCTTCTCATAGTCCCTTCTCCCTGGTCCGCTCCACACCTACAAACAAAACATTTTCCAGATAAAAGCTGAAAGAACATCTTGAGCTGTTTGTTCAATAAGCTTGGGAATCTCGGAGCCAGAGCACTGTTTCATTTTATGGTTGTGTCTACAACACTTTATGTCTTGGAGCAGAACAGCTCGACGCTCTATGTTTTCACAAGTTCAGGAAGGGACAAATACCTTCTGAAACATTTTGTATCTATTAGTTGTTGGGCAAAGCAAGATCTGTACTGCAGCCTTTTTATCTCCTTCTCAATCTTATTAAGCTTGGTAAAGAATTAGGGGTTTCATTGACCTGAAGTAATACAGGGAGAGTTAATCCTGTTGCTCCTGTAAGTGGCTGAGTGCTAGAACTCTTATTCCTCTACCACACGATTGCTTTGGTTGACCTAAGTCAAGCTGGGCTGCATCATGGTCTTACAGCAGATTCAGCCTTAGGAATTTAAATTTAATTTCTAGATCACATCAGTTGCAGTGCTGGAAGAATTCAGCCCCTCACACATCTGAGAGTTATTTAAATGTTATTTCTTTGAGATTTGGTTCAGTCTTATGATTTCAACTTTCCATAGTGAACTCAGTTGACGTTATGTCGTGAATCAGTTGTGGGGTCACTCACATTCATCATCGTTTGTGGTCAGGGTTGTGTCCTGAGCTGCCCAGGCAGAAGCTGCTCTGTTTTGTACAGCTCACTGCACCTCAGTGTTTAATCTTTCTTTTCCTTTTTTTCTTCTTAATCTGCAGATTTACATGAATGCTGTATGGCATGGCTGGGCCATTCCTATGTTCTTATTTTTAGCAATTTTGAGGTTGTCCCTAAATTACCTCATAGCCAGGTATTTACTTAAATACTAGATTATTTTCTTGTAATGCTGTGTTTGAAAGCTGTTCTGTGATTTTGGTATTGAATTGTAAACCAGTACCTTTTCTTACATTGTAAGTTAAAATAAAAGGTTTAACTTCAAGCTCCAGTAGCCTATTTTATATTACTTGATTTCTGTAATTTTTGCCTGCTCTAGGGGGTTATTCCTGACCCTGCTGACTGCTGTACCTCATTTCCACAGACTTGGGTCATCATAAATAATACTGCAAGTTCTCAAACAAATACCTCAACATTTAAAAATTCTACCATAAAAGCATTTTCCTGCAGTACTAGCTGGAATATGTCACCTTATTACTTATTACTTTTTCTTAGGCAAAATTTTCACCTAGGCCTAAAGTTGCAGTTTAATTCTTCTCGTGACTCTTGGCATATCTGTATTTGAAGTATCTCATCTCTATATCCAGTCCCCATTTAAAATGAAGATATGTTTTATTAAGAGGCATTTTTCTAGTGCTTGGAGGATATTTAAAATCCTGTTGTAGGCTTGCAGCCTTTTACCTTAAATCAAGGGGTAAAAAAAAAAAAGCACACTAGGGCATATTATGTTCTGATTTATTAATTGATACTTACTGAGTAATACTTCATTCTTTGAAATTTTTCCATAGAAAATAGGCTTCTGAATAGCTGGTACTGTTTTGTTTGCCTTAAAAAATTGCAAATCACAGTCATTTACTCTGGGCATGCAGTTCACTTTTATTGCAAAAGCTCCAAGCAGAGTACCTCATTCTGTGCAGTATCTTTATAACTAATGCTATTTTAAAATAACTTAAATATTTTAAGTAGTTTGTTTTGTTGTAGCTTTTAGGTTTTTTGTTGCTTTATTTTTTTAAGCAGAACATGACTTCTGACCTATTACAGATAATCAGTGTTGACAAGTGGATAAAAAGTATCATCTCTTTAACTGTTTCCATAACTTTTAGGGGCTGGAGAATACAGTGGAGCATTGTGCCTGAAGTGTCTGAACCCATGGTAAGTCCTCAGTCAGTTTGACCTGTATACCTACATTAGAAGTTGCACCTTCTAATTCACAGTTCACATTTAAATCCTTACATGCCAGTTTAGGAAAAGTGAGATCCTGTAGAATCACCTTCAGAAAGCCTGATCTGTTTCTTTGTACCATTTTGAAATTACTCAGTTGTCTTTGTAACATTTGGGAAGTAATACTTATATACTCTGCTTTAAGGAAAAGTTGGACTAAATGACCTCTGAAGGTTCCTTCCTACCCGAATTGCCATATTATCCTAACTGTGATATACTCTTGCCCATTTTTTTCTCTACTAATTATTAATATGGGTAGAATTCTTTGAATTTCAAACCTTTTCCTAAAGCTTAATGAGATATTTTTTCTTGGATAATTTTGTTACTCCTAAAAGACCAATAATATTTGAAAAAGTTCTAGATGTACAAACATTAAGTGACAGTTCTGTGTTAAAGCAGAAATAGGTCAGTTTAAGTGTGTGGTCTTAGACTGAAAACCATTAGCTGTGTTGCTCGAAAGACTTTTGGGGTCTTTCACAGTTTCATATTAGTATGCATGCATAAGCCATGGAGGAAAAGGGCAAGAACTTGGTAAGTACAGAGACTGTTTAAAAGGAGATTATTATTGCCAAGAATGTTGAAGGATTTGACAGTTTGAGTTGACAACAAGAATTTTATAAAACAACCATTTCATCTGAGCTGCAGATTAATTGATTGTCCTTTTCTCTCTCTCTCTCTCTCTTTTTTTTTTGTCGAAGGAACCTCCCAAAGAGGACCTGACAGTGTCAGAAAAGTTTCAGCTTGTCCTAGATGTGGCTCAGAAAGCACAGGTACTGTACTGTTTTCAGACCTCTCTTGCTGCTCCCTGAGAAACAGGGAGATTAATTCTCAAAATATCTTGTTGTGCCACAGTACAAACAGTACTTTTCATATATTCTTACCTTGTCTTCTAAGTAATAGAAGTCTCAATAAAATGCCCACAGGTTTTTAGCACCAGGTTAGTAGCACCAGGATCAATTTGCTAGTTCCTTTCTTTGCATCAGGAAGTGTCATTGCTTCTCATGAGCATCTTCTGAGTCTCTTTGGGGAAAGGAAACTTACAGGTATTGGGACAGCAAGAAACATACTGGATAACCTTGTTCACCTTGAGCAATGGCTATCGCATACATGGTTATGGGGGAATTATGTACTTCCTGCATAAGTATTTAAGGGGATTTCTTAAAAATCTATGTGTTGTGTTTCCAAAGGTGATGATAGTCCCACATTTGGACTCAGTAATCTTGCAAAGTTCCTGAAATTTCAGTGTTCAAAATGTTTGACCAAATTTCCCATTTTGCCACCTACTCTCAGAAGCTCTTAGAAACTCTGATAACTTAATACAAAACTTTTGCAATAACAGCAGCAAATACTTTCCTGTCCAAACAGTGATGTTGGGTAAATTCTTCCTTTATTTCTAATAAACAATGATAAGTTACAGAACAAAATATAACCCTGGATGGAAGTCTTTTGAGTATTGCTATTCAATTCTGTATTTATTTAGTTGTGGAACACATGAGATAAAAACGCCTCTATATGGTAACTCCATTGTCTTCTATCATGTGGATAAACAAAAAAAAATTATCACCAGAACTTGGACTTAATTTTCTCACTTCTTATGCAGAACCTTTTTGGCAAGATGGCAGACATACTGGAAAAAATAAAAAAGTAAGTTATCTGACTTGAATCGTTTTTCTTCATAAAACAAGACTTGAAAACGCTGGCAAGCTGGTAATAAAACTCTGTTTTTTTTTTGCTTTCAGCTTGTTCATGTGGGTCCAGCCAGAAATAACACAGAAGCTCTACATTACTCTATGGGCAGCTTTTATTGCATCCTGCTTTTTGCCCTACAGGATTATTGGTCTTGCAATGGGTAAACACAATAAATAATTGACATTCCACATCTAATGTTTTACAGCATGGCATGCTCTTTGGAGGGGAAATTTTGGAGTTTAAGAAAGAAAACTGCATTAATAAATAACGCAGTGTTTTAAAGTATCATCATTGTTCTTAGCATTTTCTGTCACATGGAGTTTAAATCATCTCTAAATATGTACTGCAATAGAAAAGGACAGGATAATGCCTTTGCTCCTTGAGGTGGGTTAGCTTATGATGAGCCATTAGCCTTCAGACTGTCGGCTACAAGGCTGCCAAAAAGTCTTCTATTTTGAGGATTTTGGGTCACAATTCCTTCCAAATGAAATCTGTGGGACAGCATAGAAGATGTGAATGTGATAGTGTTGGGCAAAGTGGAGGGACTAATGTGATTACTTTTAGAGGATAGGCTGAATAAAATACTAGGGGTGAATTTGCAGATACTTGAATTTTTGACTTAGAATTGATTAAATGGGCTTCACTAAGGTATGAGACCATCTTCTCTATGAGGCCATGTCCTGTGAGCCAAGAGCTCTTGTTTCTGTTCTCTGAAGATATAAGGAGGTTGCACGAGCATTAATTTTAGTGCTGTTCAACTTCAAATCGCTGTGCTAACTCAAACATATATGTAGGTTTGCTTGGTGTAGCAGTTGAATATATGTGTGAGGAATTTATTCTTCTAATTTGTAGAATGAACTTTCAATTACATTCGTTACAGTCTTGAGAGAATATTTGGGCCCCTTACTTTCTAACCAGCAGAGGAAAGAAAATATATAAGATAAGAAGACAGGCTCAGCTGGAAGATGGAGTTTAATATAACGCATGAGAGCCCTCTGTTGTCATTTAAATTTATGCAGGGAACCACAAAGTTGAATCCTCTGGAATATGTTTTCATTTCAGAAGTATATTGTGATTTCAGAATGCTGCAAACAGTTACGGAACTTATATTAGAGCTACTTTAATTTTCTTTTGTCTAGTAAGAAGCTCTAGAAGTAATGAAAAGACCTGTGAGGGTAGGAAGACTACCTGTGTAGGGGAAGGAAAGGAAAATAATTTCCTGCCCTCTTTGTAAGAAGAATCAACATATTAAAACGAAGAGAATGGGTTAGCACTGTGATACTTACAGAATTTGGTTCATTTGTGAGCTTGCTAAAAAGTCATAAAAACCGTGGGGTTCTTAACACCAGTTAAAACATCCCTTGCTAATGCGACCTTTTTTTTTTTTTTTTTTTTTAGGTCTCTATGCTGGAATCAAGTTTTTCCTTATTGACTTTATCTTCAAAAGATGTCCCAGGCTTAGAGCTAAGTATGATACTCCTTATATCATCTGGACAAGTCTACCCACAGATCCTCAGCTCAAAGAAAGATCTAATGCTACAGTGTCGAGACGGGTAACAATAATACTTCATTTTTTCTTGTTCTTCTATTTTTCCCTCTCCTCTCTCTAGCGTCTGAAAATCAGATCCCTTTTTCCCTTCCCCTTCTCCCCAGTGACTAGAGCACATTAAAGGAAGGTTAATTAAGTCTTAGTATTCAGTTTGTAAAATATTTTTTTTCCCCTTCAAGATCCAAAGCTTTTGTATTGATTCTACTTTTTATAATAAAAGGATCTTTTTATTTTAAAATACTGGAAATTATATACAAAAAGTACAGAAATTACTATGAAAATAGAACTATCCATATTAACATTAATGTCCGTAACATACATTTTATGTGATTTTCATATCAAAATTTTAGTCTTTTTGTATTCACCTTTGTTCTCATATGTTCTATTTAATGAAGATTCAGCTGCTTATGTGGATTTAAGAGCAGTTATTAAAAAAGATTTAGTACAGTAGGTATCTTACTAATGGGATCAGCATTAGTAGATGTAATAAAGTCACTTGCAGCTTTAGGTATTATGTCTTATGGTTATTAGTAATAGATGACCTTTTAGTGTAGTGATGAGTAATGGCTTTTCAATACGTCAGTACACCTAAAAGTAAATTTCCTTTTGTTAAAACAGATAGTTAAATCTTTCCTAAATATTCTACTTTGGAGTTTGAAATGGTAACTTAAAAACAAGTCGTGCTTTCCCATATCCATGAGATTGTCAGTGTTTACAGTAGTAAAACTTCCGTCTAAGCCCTTTTTTTTTTTATTTACTTAATGCTGCTTTTCACAGTATCTAATTGCTCTCCTAGGGTATTTGAATGCTGTCAAAACTCCCTAACTAAAGTGTGTTGCCCTTTACCAGTAACTCAGCCTGCCTTCCAGCTGGACAGCAAAGGGCTAAACACACGAGCCCGTGGCTAACCTGCCAAGAAGAAGAAATACAGGTTTGGGGGGAGATAGAGCAGGTGGTGGGAGTTTGCTGAGAACCACAGCACCATTTGATTTTTCAGAAGGAAGTAGAAAGTATTTGAAAGTGCTCGTGTTTTCCAAAAGGTGAGAGAAATCAGTGAGCTGTTGGACGGAGTTGTAATGTCTGTTGCCTGCAGCCTACATTGCTGCTGCTGCAGATGATAGGGTTAAACCTTTCTGGCACCTCAAGAGCTTCCAGGTTGTCATTCACATTCTGTGATCGTTGTGGCCACTTCATCATTCAGGAAGGTTATTCCTAGTTGTGTCAGTGATGTGCCTTAGGGTGGGAGAAGCTCTGAGTTGCTGAACTGGAATCCATGAACGAGAGAGTAATTGTCCCTTCTGGCTCTTCCTTATGGCTGAAGTTTTGACAAGTAGGCCAGGTTTTTGAGACTGCTGTACCTGACGTGTCAGGGTTGGCTTTTCTCCCTGAAAAGGATGTGCAGGAATGCAGGATCCACCTCAAAATGTCTTTGAAAGCATCAGCTTGGTCTCAATTTTTAAATCAGCATTCTTACCCACTGAGAGATTTCTGGGAACCTAGTAGTACAAAAACATCTCAAACAGGTTTTCTCATTTTTTCCTATGAAAGACAGAGTCCCAAAACATACAATGTCAGTATATGTGCACTGGCTTCAGCTTCCTTTCTTTAAACAGTATGTAAGATACTGTAAAGATATTTAGTCCCCATGCAGTATTTATTGGCCATGCCACTCTGTTCTCCAGGAGCAATCCTGGCACAATATCATATGGGTAAAAGTCATATGCCAAAAGCTCAAGATCAACACATCAAGAGCCCTGTTAGCCAGTCTCCAGATTACTGGTGATTATTACTGAAATTACTGGTTTATCTCTAAATTAGCTGCCTGTGTTAAAGAGGAAATCCTTTCCCCTTTTTGGAAGGATTAGTAAGGGCAAACCTCCTCCTCCCATCCCCAGCCACCGGAATAGGGTCTGGTGCTGAAGCTTAACTATCCCTTCTGTCCCTTTACATTATGGATACAAAGGAATTAGAGCAGCCAAAGGAAGAATACACTGTGTTCCAGAGCAAAAAGCATTAAATCCCTTGCCTGACCTGCCGTATGTGCCGGGCTATGGAACTTCACCTGGTTACTGGCACATGGAGCCAAATCTCTCCCTTGTCCCAGAAAGCCTCCAGAAAGCTCAGCTGGTCTTCACTTGCAGACAAAACATTGGATAATTTTTTTTCCTTGGTTCCAGGGGCTTACTTATTGCTAAGGGCAAAGCAAAAGGCAGTAACTGAGGCAATAGCACAGCCACCATGAAACATTTGCTGTCAACACCAATGTTCTTGATCTCTTTTCCCGCCCTGCCACGTCATTGTACTACAGTACCCCCAAAAGCCAGCTGATAAATACCCTTTGTTTGGCCTGGTTTGTCGGCCTGGTTTATAGCCAGTGATGGCAGCCCGTATTTTTCATTTGCTTTGGGCTTCTTTTGTTAGAGCTAAATCCTGTGAAGTGTTGGGTGCCACCAACTTAGGCTGGAAAAACACCCAGCTGAGCTGGTTGGCCTCCAACGGGCCTGGGCCTTCCCACAGGAGGGCCGGGCCTGAGCTCCCCCTTGTCGGCTGCCAGTTGTTTAACAGGGCAACATGCGTGTGAATGCCTTCAGAATGGGGCTTTTATCATTTCCATGACAAAGAAAACAGCCTTTAGAGTCATGTGGTGCCACTGTGAAGAGTAGAGGAGCGAAGACAAGCGAGCCTGGGGAAAGAAACTGCCTCCTGCTGCCCTCCCATAGGCACAACTCGGTCTCAGGAGCTCATACAAAGTGGATTTTTACATTGGTAGTTCGTGTCTGAGAGCTCCACGTTACTTTTTTAAGGATTCTGACAACCATTCCAGCTTTATTTCATATGCCAAACACTCTTAAAAATCAACTTCAAAGATCAATGCCTCTAAAATAACCTGAATAAATTGAACCAGTGTGCTCTAACCACTGATATTATTATTTTTTTTAATTGCATTCATTGTGTGTAGTTTCTTGGTGTGTGAGTAGTAAGATCTTGCAGCTTCACTCAGTTCATGTTTTATTCTGTGTATTATACTGTTAAATAGATTTCACTTTTTTCTTTTGTCACTGTCACATTTGTGTTGTTTGTTTCTTTTCCTGCTAGCTGTCAGGGCATGAAAAGGTATGGATCGCAGCGTGGAAAACTGCCTTTCAGTTTCAGCATTTGTATTCATAATGAGTTTATGCAATTTTGTGTGACTTTTTTCTTTGTTTGCTCTTTTCTTTTTTCTTTTGTTTCTTAATTTATTTTATGCAGTATTGGCTTGGTCTATCTCTTGAAGACAAGCTGAAGTACTGATAATACATTAACTCTTGGTAGTACTGCTAGTATATTAATGTGAGTTGTGTGCAGTGATTTAGCTATATCTAATCAGATATATTTTTTTAGTTTCATAAAAAAAATATTTTAATATAGATGCTTCTAATCACATGCCCTCACTCTGCAAAGACCATCAAAGGGTAGTAGATTATCTTCAGATGCCATATTAGAGCATTTTGGTATAGCAGCCGATGAAAATTGCAATTTTACCTACTTTTAGGAAGAACCATTAGCCAAGCTATTTTTAAAAGTTCAATCTAAACGTTGCTGTTCAAATTTTGCAATCATATTTGTTTTTCTACAGCTTCAAACAGCAGCATCAAGAAGTTACGTAGGCTCAAGCGCTCCAGCTGGAATAAACAAGGATGAAGACAGCAGTCGTTTTCATACCACCAAGAGAGGCAATTTCCATGAAGTTTTTAACCTGTCAGAAAATGAGCGCCCATTAGCAGGTATTTGTACAATTGGAGGCCACATTGGGAGAATATTTTTTTCTGAAAAGCTGAGTGCACTTTAAAGATTACTTCCTCTTTTGCATTAAGTACAAAAATAAGCTTTTGTTTAAAAATACTTGGTTTAAATTAGGATGATTGGAGAAAGTTTTCTTCATTCCACGTCCATAGAGTTCTTTGGAAGAAGACAGCCTATCATGCCTTCCATGGTAGTACGACTGTCAGCTATGTGGTAGTTTAAAAAAATAGTTTTTTTAAGTAGTGTTGAAATAAATATGTTTCTATTTATAAATACTTTCTTTAGATTTGCTTTGTAGATATTTCTTGTTGCAAGTATCTAAAGTTTCATTCTCAGTGCTTCTGCTGTTTCATAACATAACTTCTGGGAGTAGTAACTGTTTCTTTCCTTATTCTTTTTATGTTTGTTTTAGTGTGTGAAAATGGCTGGCGCTGTTGCTTGATCAACAGGGATAGGAAGATGCCTACAGACTACATTAGGAATGGGATTCTTTATGTCACAGAAAAGTGAGTCATTGCATTCAACATCTTCCTTAGGAAGGAAAAGCAACATCCTTATTCAAAAAGTAAATCTGAAAGTAGTCCTTTAATAATATTTTGAAGCTACACTCCTCTGAACCTCTGATAAGAAGGTATAAAATGTCTTTGCATGGTGCTCAAAGAGCACCATGTGAGGGGGAGGACTAAATCTAGAGAATACTAAAGCTAATGGAATGTGTTAGTGTCTTGGAAATTCATGTACCGGAATAAAGAATAGCTTTATATAGTCAGCTGTGAGTAGCTGCTGTTCTTGACATAGAAAGCATGCTAAATCTGTGTGTATGCGCAAACATATATATTCATATCCATATTTTAAACTGAAAGAACTGTATGTATTTTTGAGAGCTGTACTTAAGAGTATTTGCTAAATAAGCATTAGCTTATTTTCCTTGAAACTATGTGCAACAAAAGAAAACAGAAATTTATGTCTTAGTTTCAAAACCTATTCTTGATTTTTATTTTTTAATCTTTCCTCTCTATTTCCTGTTATACTGAATAAGAATTACCAATACTGTTTGGACTCTGTACACTGAAATTCCTGTGGTATATAATGAATGAAAGTAAAGCTAATCTGTATGCAATGCCATCTAGTGATGGAGAACACTTTCCAGCATTTAGAAATCTGCGCTTTTGTTCCCATCACAATAACATGAAACTAATGCAGTATTTTCCATTCATGTACTTTAAGGAGAGTAAAAGATTTATAAGATTTGGGAGATTTGTTATTTCAACTGTTTCAAGATACAGTTGCCTTCTGTATCTTTAAAGTATTTGACAGGTTTCAAGGTTTAAACATTCAGTGAAGTAATATAAAAATAAGAATTTTGTGTGCATACAATATGTACTAGACTTTTAAATTAGCCAATTAATGAATTTATGAATGTTTGTTCTAATTTACAATCTATACCTGAGTTGGAATTTCAATTGAAATATCAAATTTCAAAAAAAGAAATCATTTTAACCTGTGAGATTTCAAACTTCAGAAGTGAAAGGAAGGATATTAACAGCTTTGGTTTAGAATACTGTGTGAAGATGAGCATTTTATTTCCTTTTCTGCAGTTACTTGTGCTTTGAAAGCTCCAAATCTGGTTCGTCTAAAAGAAATAAAGTTATAAAGCTAACAGATATTACAGATATTCAGAAGGTAAGTCTAGGTTTTGTTTGTTTTTATTGTTTTGCAAGTAGAGGCAAAACTTATTTTGTTCAAGTTTTGCTTTTGTGTTTATGCCATTTCAAAAAGAAGCGTGACATTGGTAACTCTTATAACAAGGTGTGTAATTTTTCAGTCAAGGTTTTGTAGAATGGCCTGCTTAGTCATTTTTGGACTCACCACATGCAAACTCCTGCGAGTATAAAATTTGATACTCGTATGAGTATAAAACAAGGTTTACTGAACTCCTGATTTATTTTAAATTTGAAGTTGCATTGCACCTTAACACTTGTGTTAACTGGAAGACTGTATGCTTTAATAAACACTGGTTAAGCAGGAATTTTGTATTTTTAACTTCTATTCAGTTGTCAGTATCTATAGATGCTTCATCTTGAAATAAATGTCTCAGGATTACTGTCAATGGAGAAAGGTAAAACACTTAAATAGCCTTATGGATTCGGACAGGAATTTTGTCCAGTTTAGATCCCATATATAACAAAAACAGTAGTGAATGTTTAGAAGCATGGCAAGTACAAAGCATTTTTTTCTGATCGAATTTTATCAACTTTACAATCATCAGGCTTTTTTCTGAGATACGTTGTGCCACTGGGAGTTTAATGTTGGTTTTTTGTTACCCTCTCTGAACTGGTCTTATTTTTAAACAAAAACCCCACTGCTTTCCAGTACATCCTGCAGCAATGAGGGCTGCAAATTGAATTGGGTTGTGCAGAAGAAATACCTGGGTCCGGTTTCTGCTATTCAGATGTCCCCAGCCTTGTGAATGAGTTCCTTATATCAGCTGTCTCTAAAGGAGGTGGCTTCTGCTAAAATTAAGCATCCTCATTGGAATTCCTAATTCAATCTGGATACCTTTTAAACCCCAAACTTAAAGTAACGCTGGTTTGCTGTTCAGCAGACCTTTGGTGCCTCTTGTGTCTGTAGTTTCATAACGACGACAAAACAGATCTCACAGTCAAGCACAGAAATGTGCTGCTTTAGTTGGCTTTTAGTTATGGGTGGACAAGAGCAGGCCAGCTTGGCGCTTCCCCTCCGTGCTGCACACATGGGCACACACTATTTTATACCCTACTACACTCTTTTATACCCTACTACTCCAGTTCCCTGGCCAGTTGTTACCCACAGCACCAAGTAGCCAGTATAATCCATGGCAGTCTTGGCTGGAGCCACCCTTGGCAATAGCCTTTTAGCGGAGAGCCCGTTTGAGACCAAGGGCCATTCCAGTGTACAGGCTCCTGTGTATAGGAGAAGGAAAACTGGTAAGATTTTCCTCCTCCTATGTGCCAGGATGTGCCTAAGATGCCAAATGTGCGTGAGTGATGCTGTGTCCATCGACTTGAGGGTCAGAGAACAGTGTCTTGGTTGCTGTTGTTCCTCATAAAGACACGTTAATTGAGGGCAGGAGGATCTACCATTGATGAACTGCATAACCTTCTCAGCACCTCTTGCAGTTGTTCACTACCTGAGATAACTTTGATCAGTGGATTCTTCTTTCTGTTGTTGTTTCTAGTATAAAGTACTCTCTGTCCTCCCGGGATCAGGGATGGGAATTGCTGTTTCAACACTGTCTACGCAAAAAGTAAGTGGCCAGCTCTATGGTATCGCTGGGCTTGGCTTCCAGGCTTTTTAGTCTTTGTGCTTAGCTTTAACATAAATACCTTTAATTTTTCCCTAATTCCAATGTTTGGCATTTTAAATTCAATGCTGGTTGTGGAATTTGAATGAATTAAACATTGGCCTGTGCAACTGTCCATGGACCATTTCACTTATTTATTTACAGAGTGCTTGGCTTCTTCCTTTCTGCTCCGTTATTTCACTTCTCCATTGACTGGTCCCCCACATGCTTTATGAAGAGCATGGGGCCTGGTTTGCAGTGCAATCTGAAATTAAAACCTGATGGCCCAACAGCATTTCAGGATGAGGAGTGGTTTCCATAAGTGATGTGCTTTGGGAAAAAGGGCCTGATCCTCTGATCCATGGTTTTCCTGTTTCAGACTTGCTCTGCTAAAGACTTAAGCTTCTTTAAGCCCTGAATACCTTTCGGAGAAGCAAGCTTTTCTTAGTAAGCCTGAATCTTATCTTAAAGCAATCACTTATAAAATTTGTTTTTTTGATTCATATAACAGTTGTACCAGGTTTTCTACTCAGTTTGATACTGAAAAGTACTTAATTAAAAGAGATTAAAATTTTAATATACTTTAAATAAATATCCTGTGTGTTGAAAGTAATAAGAACTGATTAAAATAATTTGAAGACCAATTAGGAAGACTTTGTATGTTGAGTGCATGAAGAATAGAGTGGAAATATTTCCTGTTGCTAGTATTATATGCAGTTTTTAATATATATATATATATGTTTCTTTTATATATACATATACATATATATATATCATCCAGTTATACTTTAGACCTTGTTTTTAGAAGTGGAAATACTAAAATCTCTGACATACACCCAAGATTTAATAAATAAAAGGATTCTTAAGCTTTTATCAATGCACCCGGAGCACAGCTCATCTCCTATGATGAAAAACATTCCTATGACAAAAAAACATACCTAGAGAAAAACTTTTCTTTTACAGACTAACGTATTTTTTTTCCATTTTATTTAGCCTTTGGTGTTTGGTGCCATGGTACATAGAGATGAAGCTTTTGAGACAATTTTCAACCAATATGTGAAAATAACCTCTGCATCGTCAAACACTGAGAGCTAGTACCTTACCTTAGAAGATCTAAAGAAACTTTCTCAATTTACAACTTGGCAGTGGGAGAAAAAGAACATCCTCATCTATTTTGCAATAATTTTTCTTGTCTTGTGGTTTTTATTCTATCTGTTACATAAATCAAGTGTATTTTTTATATGCCTTCATGTTTGTTTTTAAGGTTTTTGTAAAAAAAAGGAAAAAAAAAACAAAACAGTGAAAGTGCTATCATCACTATTAGCCTTGCACATTAAGCACTTTTAATGTTTATTTACTGACATTAAAAGCTGGGAAGATACTCAGAGATCTGACTGAATAATGGACTGAAACAGATTCATTCCCTTAACTACGCTGATATCACTAGAGATGTATTTGTCCCATAATCTCTCTTTTTAGCTTTTTTTTAAGCCTTTTTTTTTTTTCCTGAGATCTGGCAATTGCAACTGCAGTAGCCTGCAGTCTGTCTTCAGCTCTGAGTTCTCAATTGAGTTCTTTGTTAAAACTGAAAGCAACACCAAGGAAATAACATCTTAGAATTTCTGTATTGATATGTGCACTTAAAATAACTCCTTCTTGCTAATTCTGGCATTGCAGAAGGGTGTTTTAACAGTCTGATTTGGTTCAGGTTTTCCTGCATAGAGAGATTTAAATTGTTTTGTACAGTGAATTGGAGGAAAATGTTTCTAATTATTATCTTCCTTTCCTAATTAACCAAAGTAAGAGGGAGGAAGGCAGGGAAATACTTTTTATAAAAGAGGGCACCAAAATGTTGTTCCTAAAATGTTAGGCATCATATATTTGTATTTCTGTAGGTATTTGTCCTAGAAGGGCTCAACCTATTGTACATGTATGTACAAGGCATTTGTATGTTAGTGCATAAAAGACTTGCTGGCTTGTTGTGTTGGAGGTGGGAATAATTTATATTCAAACTAAGCTTTGAGACATGGCTTTTAATTAGGCTTTTTTTCTTGAGTTTCCTCGCAATAAAACAACTCTATAATGTAGCAAGTGAAAGCACTATTTCCTTTTCAAAGCATTTGAGGGGCACTGGTACTTTGCTGTGTTTCCCCTTGCAAAATTAATTATTAGCAACAACTGAACCAATGGCCAGATACAACAGGAAGGCCATTCTCCTATTCTAAACTCTCTCAGGCCTTTCTAGCAACAAAGCACATACTGACCTTTTGTCTTCAATATTAGAGAGCTTTTATATTCCATAGGATAGCACCTGTCTGAGAGATTTAGAATTTTATTTGCATTTTCCCTAAAAGCACAGTAGGAGTTATGGTAAACCTTCCTGTAGGTCTTGTTCCTCACTATGTCTTTTGAGTTGAGTGGTGTGTATGTCCCCAGACCTTGTAAGAAAGGTCTCAAAAAACAATGGAATGTAATCTCATCTGAAAATGTGACCTATTTCCGTGATTTTTTTTTTTTTTTTTTTAAAACAAGGGATTTTCTTCCTGTGTAGGAGAAGGGGAAAATGAAGGAGGGAGATCAGGGTCAAGCAGCAAAGAGTGTTTAACTCTTAGCAGAGGTTTTAAGGTCTCTCCATAAATGCATCCATCATGAAGAAGGTCATAGCCAAACTGTGATAACTTCCAGTTTGGCAGTGAAGTGCATTAACTTGATACCGAGAAATACTGTCAAATACTGTGTCTTGTTCAGAAAGAGAAACGCTGATCCTCGTAAAGCTCAGTGCCCTAAATGGAGTTGTGAATAAGTATGGGGGAGAATCTGTCTTAATGAACAGACTGTCAAATTTTTGAGCTCTCCATTTAGAGTAGCACGTGAATATGTTTTTACAAGCCCTGGAAAGAGGTGGTGGATCCAAGTTATAAATCCTGGTGAATTTCTAGCACCTCCTTAAGTGCGGTGAGCCTTAGGACCTGAAAAGTTAGGATGTAAGTGAAGTTCGTAGAAGATCCCTTTTACCGCTGGCTAATATGGACGTAGTTCAACAATTTATACTTTCTTCACTTTGCATGTGCAGGTTTTATGTTTAAGTAAAATTCTTGGATTTAGAACTTTTTCATCAAAGCCTCTTCAAAATAATTCTTTTTTTCCTTTTGCAAATTATATATTACTGTTAGATTTTTTCCTTTCTAGAAGTTTCCTTCCCAAATAGGCATTAAAATCGCTTAATGTCATATAAAACTTAAATAGATTTTCATGGCTCATTCAGTTTGTCTTAAGAAAAATTGGATGTGTTTGCAGTTATTGGTTTTTTTTTGAAGGAACAGAAAACTATATTTTTTACAGAGAGCATGCTCTTTTTCTTATTTTTATATCATTTTTCAAGTGTAATTTATACCTTCACTCTGATCAGAACAGTGGTTTTGGTAGGAAATCAGCCGACTTGCACTTATTGCCTCCACTCCCTCCCACCCTTCATTAGCTGACTCTAATATGCAGGGTTGTCCCAGGTTTTGGTTCTTGAGGAGCTAAAGGTGCTGTGCTGAGGGTGCCAGGACAACTTACCACCCCTAGGCATCAGAGGAGGAGAAAAGAAACCACAATTATCCTTTTTGATAACTGAAATGCCTCATGCATACAATCAATACACTTTTTTTTTTTTTTTTTTTTTTTAAGACAAGTAAGTTGTAGTCTTATCTTAATTAGTTGGCATTCAAAATTTAATCCATGCTTTAACAGGCTGAACTGAATAACTGGTAACTTCTAAAGCAGTAAGCTTGCTGCAAACTGCAATGCAATGTTGTTCCATTCTGATGTAGAGAAAACAGGCTGGATTTTTTTAATATAGAGTTGTAATATAACTGACAAACATCCGTGTACATATTTTTGCAAAGTTCACTTTACATTAGGTTGTCTGAATTACTGCAAAGTAGCTACACTTGTGTTATGTAGACACAAAGACACTAGAAAATAACTTCAGTGCGTTTACTTGCGAGTTCTCCTGTGCTTTTTCGGCTCCTACAGCCCTGCATACTGCGAGGGTGGGAGAGGAAGAAAGGGCAGTGAATAAATAAATGCTTTATTTGTGTAATTACACTGAAGTTAACCAGAATTGCAATTCTCCCTGTGTAGTTTTGCAGTATAGCCTGCTTCACTTCCATTAAAGTCTGGGTAGAACCACTTAATGTAAAGTGTTACTTTTTATAGAGAGAGAAAAAAAAAGAGTGATATTCTTGTCATTCTGTTTGTCTGTTTGCTGTTTATATTTGCAGTTCTGTTGATGTATGTGGTTCATTGCTGGATCATTCATGCTTAATTGGATTTAACTTCTTTAGTAGAAGTGCATTGGTTAGTTTGAGTCCCTTTTAAAGAGTAAAAGGGAGATGAAAACTAACCCCTCTATTTATTGGTGATAAATATTCTTAAATTCAAACACTTAAATTCAAAAGGCAGAAAAAGCTGACATATGAAATCATGCCTTTCTGTACTCTGTAGCTTTTGTGAGGCAAGATTGAATAAAACAAGCCATTTATGAGTAGCAACATCACACAGAAAGCCAGCAGCAACCCCCCACTATTGTCCCTGTAGACAAAGAGGAAAGAGATGAAAGGATGTACTTTTTTGGCTACTTAAACTTATATTGAAAGACACCTGTAGTTTTTACTGAAATCTGTACGTTTTGGCAGATGTTTAATTTCTACTACTAATCATTGAAATATGATGGATGTTGAAATTTTTATGTCTGAAGTTTGAGTCTATATTTTGAAGTTGTAAATAATTCATTCTCAGTGTAACTTTTGTTTGACAAAAGACTTATACTGTATGAAGAATTGAAATAATGAAATTATTTGCCCTGTACATTTTTAAGAAAATCTTGTTTAAAAAGTCTTGTATAAATTATAATTTTTATTTAAATAAACATAATGCTTTGTGCTAACATTTCTTACAAACCTGAGCTTGTATAGAAAAACACACATGATATCTCAGAACAAGGTGAGTTCCTACTTTTTGACCCATTCATAGCCACATCAGGTAAGTAGGAGATGGATTTAGGGGGAGCATTTCACATCTGACTTTCACATCTATCCTGCTGAATTTGTGTCTCTCCAGTTCATCGCTCCCAGGAATACATTCCTAAATGCTGATCCTCCACCACACTGCTGTGAATATATATGCCAGGCTACTTTGTCCAGATTGTACCTCACCAAGGGCCTCCAGCCAGCACTGGCTTCTACTAGATGTCCAAGTGTTTGTCTCCAGGTAGGAATGCAGTGCCAGGCATGGGTCACCTAATCCAGGCGTACTCGCTTGCTTCAACCATCCTCCTTTCTGGGTGTTGCCTGGTTGAATTAGATCAGTCCCTGACAAGTATTCCAATTATGACTACATACTACCCCCTTTATTTCAATATTCAATTTTCTCATGATGTCAGCTAAGAATCTGGCAATATAATGATGATTTTAAGGTGGTATTTTAAATATTTGTCCTTTGACAATGCCAGATTTCCCTCTTAAGTGCATTTTTTATAAACATTTGTGCAAAATTATCTGCAGCATTGACTAAAGATCAGTGGTTTCAACTTTGCCTGCCTGACGCCTACTTTAAAAAAGGATTTGATGTCCAAAAACCTGTTTTTTCGCTGTTTGCTGCGTGAGACTTGGAGTCAGCCCTCCTGAAAACTGCACTTGCTTTCGGAAGCTCACTTTAACAGCCCAGGAAAATAGTAACAGAATGAACTGTTTCCCCCTCTCTGTGCAACCCTACCTGGAATGAAAGAGGAGCAGGGAAGCCAGCTGCAGTCTGCAGTGTCACACACCTGTGCTGCCCTACGGCAGGTGAGCAAATAAAGTGCTGTGCAATAAAAGGCTTGTAAAGCACAGCTGTGGCATTCAGCTTGGAGAACTTGGGATTTTTTTTTTCTCTTAAATAATTTTCACGTCTAGCAGTTCCACAGAGTCTCTAGGTTCCCTGATTTCTGCTTAGGCAGTTCTAGGTTAAGCTGTTTCACCTGCAAGGCATCACCACCTTTCGCAGCTCCAAATCTTTGTCTATATCATGAGTAAAATCTACTAACAGTATGAGGGACTTCTCTGCTACTTGGGGTCTTTTAAGGGAACATCCCTTGGTGTCCTTGCTGAGTTTTGACACTCCTAAAAGCGTAACAGAAAGTGCTTTTCAGAGTGAATGAACTGTCCTCGACAAAGCCTTTTTCTTTGCAGGTGAAAGCCAAGGTTGAGCAAAATTTGTCTATAAACTTAGAATTGGCCACAGGCTGCAATATGCTACTTGGGAAGCATTGTTTGAAGCTAAACTAGTTATTTGCTCAGCCATCTTCATGTCATTCTTTTGCTGTGTTTGCTAGTGCAGGGTGGGAGGTTTTAATCTCTCCCAGCTAAGTCAATAAGAACATCAGAAAATCCTCTCCCAGGCTTTGTAGGTCAGATGAGTGATTAGGAAGGGCGGCTCTTGCTACGAAGTCTGTAGCAAACCAATTACATATGCATTCAATATTGCCTTTGCTTTTTGAAAAATCTTCCCTAGTCAGCAATGCCATTAAATGATGACAGGTGTTAACCAGGCACGCAACGTGGATAAGGAAAAAAAGTCCAAATGAACTCTTTGTAAAACAAATAAATCTCCAAAAACATCATGCAAGGCTATAATATTTGCAGAACCTGCAATCAGTCTGAGAAGTATTTGGGAGCAAATGCTTTTGAGGAAAAGGAAAGGGAAAATGATTAAATCTTAGATTCTATTTGGGAAACGCGGAAGGAGTTAGAATGGGTGGCAAAGTATGAAGCAGAAGCAAATTCTGCATTTCTTTGTGGAATATATGCTTTATAAGAGTATTCTTTACTTATCTTTGCTCTCAGGCTCATGAGGTTTGTTACATTAACACAGGGCCTTACTTATTTCTTCATTTGTGTGTGTGTGTTTTGCAATACCTCAGTGTTTTGCTTGCCTGCAGGAAATGTATGAGGATAGTGTGGCTTGGTGGACTTGCTCTGAGACAGCTTCTGTCGTTATATTGGACATCACTGTTGATTGCTGCACCCATGTGGTGGGAGAGCCTTGGAAAGCTGCCTTCCTGATCACACACCGAGCTTCTTGCTGTCTCTCACAGCGTCCTGGCCCTTGTGGCTCCCCAAAATGAGGCTCCTTGACCCTTGATGGCTTGTGCAGCAGTGGCTGGGGCTGCTCCAAATCTATCTGCAAGATGGGTCACTCTGGGCACTTCCTCAGGAGAGCAGAAGGGAGATGAACCTGGGCTTAGTCTGCCTGGTCAGGACTGAAATGATGATCTAGGCAGAGAGGGTGCTGGGGAGGGAGCCCAGAGCAGGGATCACAAATGCTGCGAGTCACCTGGGCTCAGCAGGGCTCAGGAGGCCTTTGGGTAAAGGAGGAGACGCTCTCTTCACTAGCAGGTCCATTCGTTGGGATGCTGCTTTTAAATACTGAAAACAGCATAAGGATCTCTGTGTGAAGGATGGCAGTTCCATATGACCACCATGGTCTTCACGTGAGTATGGAAAATATTGGTTGCACTTTGTAGCTTCTGGGGAGGGAAAGGAATAAAAGAGGTCTCAATAGACAACTTGGACTTAATATCTACTAACTCTTGATTAAAAGCTTTTCCTACTATTCTGAGCAGTTTTTATAAGTGGGCTGCTTAGTGAAGATTTACTGCGCATCACCCATCTTTCTCTTTCCTTGGAGATGGCAGAAGCCTTTTAATGCTCTTCTCCTAAAGATGTGCCAGGCTCCAGGCCCAGCTGTGGAAGCACCTTCTTGGAAAGCCAGCTCTCTGGCCAGTGCTCAAGCAAACGTCTCAAGCTGACCGTGATTTTAAGTCAAGGCAACAGGTCCCTACTTGGTCTTTACTGTGAACCTGGGAGCAACAGGGAAAGAGGAGTGTCCTTGCAGGAATTTCCAGAGCTGGACACACAAGTGCCCCTTGAAAATTCATTACATGCATGTTCCTCTGTGAACCTTTACGCTGTGCTTAATAGCTTTGCACTATAACCTTCAGGTGCTGGTGGCACTTCAGCCACAGAATATCAAAACAGAAATGCCTGCCTTTGGCTATAAGTCTCCTGTGCCCTGATTTCAAGAATTAAGGTTTTCTTCTGGTATGTCAAGAAAGTAGCCCT